AATCCATAAATGTTCTCAAGCTCTTGCCCATAGACACCCACTATGTACAAGCTAGATTTATCAACACTCATTCTAAGACCCGAAATGTCTCCAAATTTAGATAAACAATCCATCAAGATGCCTACCGAAATTTTATCACCTCTAGAGAATAGTGTTAAGTTGTCTGCAAATGCTAAATAGTAATCTTTAAGGAACCACATTTAGGTGAAAATTGTACTCACTATTCTCGGTTGCACGCTTCAATATCCTCGAGAAGTATTAAAGGCAAATCACAAATAAGAAAGTAGAGAGAAGGTCCATTTGACGAAGCCCCTTTTCCCTTTGATGAATTCATGAAGACTACCATTAAGAGCAATAGAACACGCCGGTGTGGTAACACATTCCATCACTCAATCAATGAATTTATTTGGAAATTCCAAACCTTGAAGCACACTCTTGTGATATATTGTCTCAAAAGCTCTTGGGCGTGATGGATATTCTCTGTCATACTTCTACCTTCCACAAATGTGACTTGTGTTTGGTCAACAATCGTCCCAAGTATATTTTTAACCCAGAAGCGAGGATCTTGGTAATAACCTTATGAAACACGTTACAACAAGCAATTGGTCTATAATCTCCCACTGAGATAGAGTGATTACTCTTAGGAACCAATGCAATAACCGTGTGGTTATTTTGCTTAAGAAAAGAACTAGAGCAAAGAATTCTTTCACCTCTCCCATGAACTCATGACCAACAATATCCCATGACTTTTTGAAGAAACAAAAAGTGTGTCCATTTGGCCCTGGTGACTTATCATCCCTGATGCTATACAATGCCTCCTTGATCTCTTGCTCGAAAATGTCTCGACCTAGGGCCAAAGTAATCTCTTTCGATAACAAGAAACCACTCTTCATGATGTCAACATCAATAGGATGTCCCGAAAAATTCTTCCTTAGTAAATATCTATAGAAACGAAGGAATTCATTGGCCACTTCTTCCAATGAGATAGTATATGATCCATCCATTCCCTTTAAGCACAGTAGCAATGAAATTCTTTTTAATATTCCTCTTGACCCATTGAGTGAAAGAACTTAGTGCATTAGTCACTATACTTTAGGTATTCACACTTAGCTTATTGATAGTAGAAACTCCTCTTCGCTTCACACAAATCAATGGATACTTTTCTCTTGCATGTCACCCTACTTTGAAGTTCAATATTATGAGGTTATCATACAATTCCAATTGTGCCTCTCTAACTTCGTGGTAGCCATTTTAGCTCTCATGGAAACATGTGAAAAGCGCTCATCGTTAAGCTTTTTGAGCTCCCCTTTAAGACTTTGTAACTTCTTGCAAAGCGTAAATTGTTTCTTACCCGTAATCTCTTGTTGCCAATAATTTTGCACAACCTCTTGGAAGCTACCATGATTAGTCCACGTATTGAAAAATCTAAACAACTTTCTCTTATTTTCCTCTTGGCCAAAAAGTGAGACAGTGCATGGAGAATGATTGGATAATCACCCTGATAGAAGAAAATGAACCAAGCTATTAAACCCCATTTGTAATCAAACATCATTCACCAATGCCCTATCAAGCTTGCTCCAAACCAAGTTATTTGTTCAAGTGTAAAAACAACCAATGGATCTCATATACATAAGTCCAAGACTAAGTCAACAACTCTCAAAGTTTTTTACCTCGTACGGGGTAACATACGTACCATTACTATTTTCTTCAAATTTAAGCACATTACTGAAATCCCCCATAATCAGCCATAGCAAAGAGCAATATAAGCTAAACTCCAAGATGCTATTTCATAGCGGTCTACGGCTAGGGATAGTATGAAAACCATATATAAAGATAACAAGAAAAGTGAGCGATCTAACCTTGCAAGTTGCGGAACAATGGATAACCTACGTGGTAGTCTCAAGCACTTACAAGCTAAATTTCAAAAAGTTCCACAAAACCAATATCCGGCTAGCTTGATGAGTAGAAAAGTTGATGATTTGCGATAAACCACCAAATTTATTCCTCGTGAACCAATCTAATTTCGGTTCACCTAACTTTGTTTTCGAAAACTCCATTTTCTTTGAGGGAAGGGTACAAGTCCCTAATGTTCCAAGTGCAAATCTTTATGATGTTGAAGCAAGGAAAATTCCTTTATTTTTGTCTTTAGTAGCCACCAATTTTTTTTTTCTCGTCAGTATTTGCTTTGAGCTTTTCATTACTTGTTGTCTTAGCACTTACTCCATTCACATTCAAGGATTTCGCTATCATAGATTTAGCCAAATTAGTGACGTCATTATTTGAGATTTTGATAGGAGTAATCCGCATTTGATTTACGTCTTTCTTCCTACTAACAGTATCAATGAACAGGCCTTCATTCTACTATTTTACCAATAATTCTACCTGTTGATTGTTGGTCATTCAAATTGTATGCTGCAAGTGCACGGGTCACGTTCAAGTAATAAAGTGGACTTTTTGAGTTTGAGTTGTCGATTTCTCGAGGAATGTATACTTTCGATTATACAATTTTAATCAATTTAATTCTAACAATGAAAACAAACACACAATAAAGATTTTGATTTTGGAAAATAACTAAAAATCTACAAAATAAGAAAATAAAAAAATTTTGGGAATTTCAGAGGAAAACGTGATAGAGATTTATGGTTTCACTTGACCGTCATCTAATTAATTTCTCAACAAGTTAATTAACATATTATTCATTTATTTTGTTAGACCCAATTTTTAAATTTTAGTTAATTACCACTCTTGAGCGAAATTAACCATAATTGATTGATTTAACCTGATACACCTCTATGTTGATTCAAACCAAACAACCGTATTAAACCTTTGTGAAAATAGCTCAATAGGTCACCTAAAGTTATGAGTATATTTCTATCCTCTACACACCTAGGGTTTCTACTATTTGATCTAAAATACACAATCTTCTCTTAAATGATTACAAATCACCAAACATAATCATTCATTGGCCACATAAATGAAAATGCAAAAAATACAATAGTAAAAACACAAGAAAACAAGTATTCAAACATTAGGAAAATGATATTGAAATTAATCCAAGTAAGTTAAGCTACAACCATAAATCCCAACACAAGAAATTAGTCCATATTATTTATATGATAACAAATGAGAGTATTCATAACATTTACTACAAATTTGGAGAATGAGCGGATTAATTAAACACAAGAGAAGAGATAGAACCTCCTTTGGTATATTTTGGAAGATGATAAAACCCTTGTTCTTGTCGTTTTCCAAAATTTCTCCAACTCCTTGATTGAATTCCCTTTCTTGTGCTCTAATGTTCCACAAAAATACCAAGAAAAGTCAAAGGAAAAAGAAGAAAGAAATTTATTTGTACTTTTATGAAAACTTTGGGAGTATAGCTGTAATTTATTTTTTATTTTTCTTTTCTTTATTTTTGTTTTATTTAAATAGGAGATATATTCATCATTTTATAGCTTTCAATTGAGAAAATGATGATTTTCACAATATAATGTGAAAATAAGGGTGAAAATATTAAAAAAATAAAGATAGGAACATTTTTCACAACAATATTGAAATATATGGACGTTTTATGCTAATTATCATTTTAATAATTTATTTGGATTCATTAGCAGTTATTTAAAAAGTGTGGGAATATAACTGCAATTTGATCTTGAATTTTTCTTTTCATTTTTTTTTGTTTTATTTAAACATGAAGGTATATTTGTTATTTTGCATTTTTTATTGAGGAATTGGATAAAAATGATCTTTTCCGCAATGAAAGATGAAAATAGTGGTGAAAATGCCAAAAAAAAAAAAAAGGTAAGGACGTTTTACACAAAAACATTGAAATGTATGTACGTTTTGTGCTAATTATCTCCTCCTTTAACAAAATACTATTTTAGAATATATTTTGGCCAAAAAATAGGGCTAGTAAGAAATTCGTAGAAAGTAACAGCTCTTCCACTAAGCTGATGACTCGTATAGTCATATTCATAAGATATTTTGCCCTTATTTGATAGGGATTAAAATTTAAATTTTTATTAAATTCAAAGTTAACAATTTATTTTAGTCACAAATTTTATGGTATCCACGAATTTTCAACCACACATTTTATTGACTTTTATCAAACTTTACTAAAAATCTAATTTTTAATCTCCATCGAAGAAGGCATTATGAAAATTCTCAACAATAGAAAGGAAATATTTGTTGATGCAACTAAAAGAAATTTCCACCAAGACTCATGACAAATACTAATACCCTAAACCTTGAAAGGCCTATGAATGGCTATTTTTCATGGAGAAAAAAAAAAAAAGAAGAAGAACGAAAAAACCCCTAGCCACACTTTTGATTAGTTTGCTCCATTAACCTATTTGTCGTGTAAGTTTACCTTTTGAAAGCTTAGTTCAATGACTTATTTGATTGCCGGAGTATAAATGTTGGAAGATCTACCTTTTGGAAAAGCTACCTTTTGCACACTAATGGGGTATTTTTTTTTTGTAGGAGAAGGACAAGTAATGAAATGTGTGGCAAGATCAATTAGTATCCTAATCTCACGTGATTTTGAGTTCAACAAAGATGAGCTTGAATCAACCATTCAGGGGTCTATCATTGACAAAGAAGTTGTTGGTATCATTAACTGTCGATAAATTTTTGTATAGATTATGTTATTTTTTAAATTTACCATCTATTTATCTTGTATCGAAGATCACTGCCGATAGATCACATGTATAGCTTATATTATTTTCTGTATTTTCCATATCTTTTTACAATGAGCGTCTTTTTCTTGAGCTTTTGAAAATGAAAAAGCAAATCGAATCAAATCGTGCCAAAAGTGCCACCAACATTTTGCAGTCATACGTCACATCTAGTGAGCCACGTGAAGTTTTGTCGTTTATACCTCGGGTGCACATGTTATGTCTAAACTAATGCTCCAGCTACATTTTGACGTCTGCAGTGACGTCTTGCGGTAGCTCGTGTGAATTATTGTCGTGCTATAATGTCCACATAAATGACTGTAGATTTGACACAACATACACACGAGTCAGAATTATTTTATTCATGAAGTACCCCCGCCAAATATGTGAGGTAGCGGTCACCGACGAGATTATCCTCGCTGGTCCTTTGGCTTAACTCTTATTGTTATCTGGAGCTGTCTACAAGACTCTGATTAGTAGGTTTATTGCATAAATACTTGTGTTTTTCCACAGAGTTGATATGAAATTTACAACGACATAAGAATGAAGAAGCTAATGGATTCTCAAGGTGCCACACTCCCTCCTCATGTACTCATTTTTCCGGTGCCAATTCAGGGCCATGTGAATTCCATGCTCATGCTAGCCGAACTCCTCTGTCTTTCTGGCCTTGACATTACATTCATGATCTCTGATTTCAGCCACAGCCGCCTCCTCAAGCATACCACAGTCGGTTCGCGTTTCAAGCAGTATCCTGGATTCCGTTTCCAGGCCATCACCGATGGGCTTCCTGATGACCATCCTCGAGTTGGCGAGAAAGTCATGGATATCCTGCCTTCTACCAAAAACACAACGGCACCACTCTTCAAGCAGATGATGGTTGAGAAGAACTTTTTCTCTTCTGAAACCCGAAGGCCAATTTCTTGCATCATAGCTGACGGGTCCCTGCCATTTGCCGGTGATTTTGCCGAAGAGAAAGGGATTCCCCTCATATATTTTCGGACTATTAGTGCTTGCTCCTTTTGGGCTTATTTTTCTATACCTGAACTCATTGAAGCCGGTGAAATTTCCGTTGAAGGTGTCCACTTGCTTTCCTGATTTCTAGTCAACCTGTCTGTTTAAAGATATTTAGCACCTGTTTCACCCTCATTTTTCATAATAAATTTTCTGAAAAAAAAAATATTTTTTTATTAAATAAAATATACTTAGAAAAAAGGAAAATTTTATTTTAGTTTTATATGCAAAATTATTTTATTAAAAAGAAAATGTGCCGTAGAAAATAATTTCTTTTCTTGATGAATTTTAAAGGTATTAGCATGGACCAACTGGTAAAAAGTATGCCGGGAATGGAAGGTTTTTTAAGATTCCGTGACTTACCCAGCTTTTGCCGTGTCAACGACATCAATGAGCCAAACCTTCAATTGATGAAATCTGTGACTAGACAAACCACGAGAGCTCAAGCAGCCATTTTTAACACTTTTGAAGATCTAGAAGGATCAATAGTATCTCATATACGCAATCACATACCAAAAATCTTCACCATTGGACCAAATCATTCCCACTTGAAGTCGAGACTCGCAGAAAAGAAAGCCGATAAATCAATTCTTTCAGGAAGTTTTTGGGCAGAAGACCGGAGTTGTCTGAATTGGCTTAATGCACAGCCACCAAAATCAGTAATCTATGTCAGTTTTGGAAGCATTACAGTTGTGACAAGAGAGCAGCTATTGGAGTTCTGGCATGGTTTGGTGAATAGTGGACAGAGGTTCTTGTGGGTCATGAGGCCAGATTCAATTGTAGGGGAAGATGGGAAGAATCAAACTCCAGTAGAATTAGAGGAGGGTACAAAGGCAAGGGGTTACATGGTAGGATGGGCTCCTCAGGAAGAAGTTCTGAACCACGAGGCAGTGGGTGGGTTCTTGACTCACAGTGGATGGAACTCGACTCTGGAGAGTATTGTAGTTGGTGTGCCAATGATTTGCTGGCCATATTTTGGTGATCAAACAACTAACAGTAGGTTTGTGAGTGAGGTTTGGAAGATTGGGTTAGACATAAAAGATACTTGTGATAGAGATATTATTGAGAAAGCTGTCAGAGAGCTTATGGAAGAAAGGAAGGACGAGTTCTTGGAAAGGTCAGAAAATATGGCAAAGCTTGCAAGAAAGGCTGTTAGTGAAGGTGGATCGTCGTATAGCAATTTGAATGCTCTTATTGACTACATCAAAACAATGATCACCTGAGTATGCTACGTTAGTTTAATGCTCTTTTTTCGGGTAGTATGTTGTAAAACGACATTATAAATTGACGTTCGATTATTCGCGTATTAAAGTTTGAAACGATTATCTAAGGTTTCGTGATCATATAGGATGTCACCAATTGTATACTCGATGGTTCGGGTGTATAGTAAGACACAATTTGTAATGTGATAAAAATATGTCATTCACAATCAGTACATAAAGTTGGATGCTTTATGTTGATAATATTGTAATGTTTTTATTAAGATTTGTCTATATTTTGGAATAAGAACAATAATGTGTTTTAGTGCATATTGAACGAGACCGCAAAGATGACTCATTTGTGATCGCTCGATATGAGACTCTACTTGATTGTCAATCAAGTCACCTAAATCTAGCAAGTAATGTACCAATAAGTGAATTCTTAAAAGAAGATTGATCTCGGTGTATTGAAAATCGGACTGAAACAATTAGAGATCGTATACTTGCGATAGTGAATTCATTAATCATTGAGATGATACGATTGTCACTATAAAGTATTTTCTATCGAAAAATTGAACTTGAACTCAGTTGTCCAATGATGAGATCGTTGGACTTTATATCATGATTTAATAACAACGAATTCGTCTTATGAAAATGGAACTTAGAGGGTATTATACGTTGAAGGGCAAGATGATCATTTTGCCATTTTCAATTTATTAACGGTCAAATGGGGGTTGACTTATGGTACAATAATTAGAGGATATTGTTATCGGATCATAATTTGCTTTTACAACTACCATTTGACTCGAGAGTGAAAATCTCGATTTTTTGGTAGAATGAGTCGAGATTATTAGATGTACCTCAATTGGCCAAGAGTTGATCCAATTAGAAACATCTACTAGAGCTTGAGTCATGTGAGTCCGATTAGGTTCCTTTCTTGGCTCACGATTTAATTACTCTACTACAATAAAGAGTTTATCCAATTAAAAATATCTATTGGAGTTCGAGTCATGTGAGTCCGATCAAGTCCCTCTTTTAGCTCCAATAAAGGTTTGCGACTTAATTGGTCTATTATAATTTGTGCAATTTTCGAACCCTAATTAAGTATTATAAATATGGCTTTGTTGGCACATTTCATATAATTTTTAGGGTTAGCCACATTTCATTTCTCAAAAGAGGGAGGCACCTAAAACAGTACAAGAGAAAAGATCTAAGCGAGGAAGCATTTGGTTAATTTATTAAAAACTCCTTCAAAGTTATCACCTTCCCTTTATGTGTGAGGATTTAAAAACATTCAATGATTTCAAGGTGAGCTATGGTCCTTTATTCATTTGGTTTAATCTACAAAGGAAAATTAATTTCCTATTATGATGGTTAAATCCAATAACCAACATGCCATCCAAACCATGATCATCTTTTAATTGGTTTTAAAGATTTCAAATCTCTTAAACACTTATAAATGAGCATATTTTTTCTATTAAAAGAAATCTTTCTGTCAAATGAGCATATTTTTTCTATTAAAAGAAATCTTTCTGTCACTTTCTATCAGCATATTTGAGAAAAAAGAATTAAAACATAATTGAGAAAAATATTTCCTAGAAAACTGTTTTTAATATTCTAAACCGTATGTAATTGAAACTCAACTATTCTAATTAGCAGCTTTAAAAAAGTGCTGTGCTTCAAAGCTTTCCTGGCAACAAGGAAACGTGAAATTCACGCAGACACAGTGGAACATCTACCATATTAGAAGATATGGAAACATGCGTAATCCATTTATCCACCATTGATCAGAAATTGTAGCAAGACTTGAATGATATATTTTTCATTTTTGGTGTAAAATTCTTGATAAACTCTTAAAATCAACTTGACTGGATCACTGTCATACATTCAATATCAACAGAAGTTACTTTTGAAGTAGTATTGAACTTACGAAATATCATTTAAAAAAAAAATCCTTGAAAAAGTAAACATATTGTGGGTTCTTCCATGTCATTTTTACGCCAGGAAGCTCTGACATGAAAACCACTATTCTTAAAAAGAAAAAGGTAGTTAATTAATTAACAAAATTTTCACAACTATGTATTTCTCATATAAGGGTTATTCTTCAAATCTATTGACTTTCTCAACATTTCAACAATCCAGTCCATGAGCGATTGTCCTTTGTCAGGGATAAAGTACCCACAAGCATGAACATTGACAAAAAGTAACTTTTTTCATTAGGCTAAAAGTTATTAACATTACAAAGAAATTCTGAAAAAAACAGCCATGCGATCTGATAAGTATATTTTATACACTTATTTTAACATAAAAATATAGACATTTAATAATTCTTTTAAGCAATTATAGACTAATTATATATTTCATTTATTTGATAAAACCCAATTATTGAAAGTGAAATTGAAAGAAATAAGTGAAAAACGACGAAAAGGGGCGAAGTCCAAAGTTTGAGGATCAAATTGTAAATATTCAATAGTTAATTCGGACCATAGGACGATACTTTGAAGATTGTTAGGAGTCAATTTGATACAATTAGAAGTAAAAAAGAAATGAAATATGATCAAAATATTATCACAAATCAACTTTCAATCGCACAAGTTATATTTCAGATTTTTAGTTGATGATTGAGACTCATTCTGGCATAGCAAACATCATAATTCACTACAAGAAATTCATCATTTTCCTATAAAATTTCCATTGACAAATTGAAATTTGTAGGTGAAGTCACCTTTTCCCACGAAATCGATATTTTGTAGGACTATGATTTGCTTCGAGTTTTTAAATATTAGGACTTGTGCATAGGGATGGTAAATGGGCCGAGCGGCTCATCGGCTCGTTAAAACTCGGCTCGTGGGTGGCTCGGGCTTGTCAAATAGCTCGAGCCGAGTAGGGGGCTCGATCAGGCTCGGCTCGTGGGCGCTCGTCCAAAAATATGAAATTTTTTAAAAAAAAGGTGCAAAATTTTTTTTTTTGAAAAAACACGAGCTCGCGAATGGCTCGTGGGCTTGGTTTGGCTCGGCCCACGAGCTCATGGCTCCCAAGGTCGGCTCGTTTTTCACAAGCCACGAACCCGAGCCCGAGCCCGAGCCCGAGCCGAGCTCATGGGTTAAAGGACTGAGCCGACATTGCTATCACTACTTGTGCCCTCAAAAATGTGTATTTTTTCACGACATAAAATTTCACGGAAAAAATATATCTTTTGCCAACAAAAATACTTGACATATTTGTAGGCTAATAATTAACGAAAAAATTTAAACTACTAATTTTAATTTTAATTTTAATTTCAACAAAGAATATATATTTGAATTTAAAAGATAATTAAAAAGAAAAGGAGAGAATACATTTTTTTGTTAACAAAATTCAAAAATCAAAAACCCTCATCAACCACGTAAAGTATTCCACTTTCTCTTTGCCTCCAAAGATTTTTCCCCAAAATTTCATTCCCTCTCTTAATTTGTCATCTCACTCTTCTTTGCCTCCAAAATTTTTTTTCCCAAAATTATTCATTCACTCCCTTTGTTGCATTTGCTTAAGTGGCCCAAACCTAATTCAA